TTAAAATGGTTTGGTTATACTTAAAAAATGAAATCATTATGAAGCAAGAAAATACAAAAACAAATATTGTAAATGCAACTACAAGATATTATATTTTAAAATATTTATATTATTAAAGATATAAATGTCTCAATAATTAAGGTAATAAAATCGTGTCTATCACGATTGAATATATATAAGAATTTTTAGAGTATTTATGAGTATCCATACTATTATTTTATTGTTTATTGATTTTATATAGATTTCAAATCAGTTTCTTAAATGTGCTATGCTGGTGGTCAGGAAGAATATATGAAATAATTTGAAAAAAATTATTCAAGTGTAATAATCCACGTTACACTATTGGTCCACCAAAAGATATTAAATCAAAGGTAAAAAAAAAAAAATCGAATTTTATAAATTTTTAAATAAAATTTTATAGTTAACTGATTTTTTCTCATGTTTTTCATCATTTTTGTACCCAAAGAAACATGATTTATTCTTTTTTATTCATGAATTCTTAGTTAAAAACTTGTAATAGTCTAAAAAGAAAATTTAATGTGAAATATAATAAAGCCATAATATTTTTTTTATAAGACTATGTCGTTAAAAAAAAGTAACTATTGATGTAAAAACTTACATGAAAATTATTTTTTATTCTTATTTAATGTTAATGAGAATAGTAGTTTTTGAAAGTTTATCCATTTTATTTTGACATATTTATTCGTAAAATTATCAACAATATTAAAATAAAAAACTATATTTGAATAATTGACAGAGTTATGTAAAAACATAATTTTAATTATTTAATTTAAAAGAAATTGATTCATAGTGTTCAAAAATAAATAAATAGATAAATAGTGAATGATTTGTGTTTTGTGTTGTTGCATCGTTAATTTCTAATAAGACTAGCAATTTAATATTTTTTTTACATAATAACTATATTAAGTGAGTTAAAGTTTTCAACGTAAAATGAAAAAAAAAATAGTTAATTTATAAGTGATATATTGAATAAATTTGAAGTTAATAGGCTCCGATAAAAATGATTCCAAATTTAATTTTGATAAATTACAGAAGTAGCAAATAGAACACATGAATTTCTTCTTCTTTTTTTGCTTCTTAAATATTTTCTTCATTTATAAGCCATACATCTTAGGTCCTCATGCATAGGCTTTACATGCAAAGCTATGATTCAAAAATTCTTAGAATACATTATATAAATTATATTATTTATATGTTTTTAAAAAATAATCATGTTCTAAAATTTTATTCCAAAATCCATTCATAGTTTTGATTTATATAGAAGTAGTAAATAAGACACATGAATTTCTTTTTCTTTTTTTTTCCTTCTTAAATATTTTCTTTGTTTATAGGCCATATATGTTAGGTCCTCATGCATAGGCTTTACATGCAAAGCTATGATTCAAAAATTCTTAGAATACATTATATAAATTATATTATTTATATGTTTAAAAAAATAATCATGTTCTAAAATTTATTCCAAAATCGATTTGTAGAAAAAAAATCATATCTATATGTAGATAAAATTTAATAAAAATAAAAAATCAATTGGATGATAATTTTTATAAAAAATGACAAATTGAAGGAATAAGTTTTAAATAATAAGAATAATATAATATGAAATATATGCTCATTTTAAAATAAAAAAACATATCATATATATTTCTTTCTCTCTAGGTTTTTGAGAAACCCCAAAAATAATGATCAATCATTCATAATTTTTTTCCCAATAATCCATAATAATCAAAATTAAAATAAATTGATAAAAAATTGCAAAAGCACAAAAAAAAAAAAAATCTATGTAGGCAAGACTTTAGAAAAAAAAAGATATAATTTTAATTCGTAGCAAAAAAAAAAAAAAAACAAAGATCGGAACAAATTCATTTGTGTTTTATCAAACAAAAACTCAAAATGACAATTGTTTTTTCCTTTCTATATCTTTTTTTTCTTTTTTTTATCTTTCTTTCCTTAATCAATCTATTAAAAAAAAAAATCCTTAAAGTTTAGAAGAAAAAAAATGCTATTTCTTTCCTATATATTTTCTTTCTTTCATTAACCAAACTATTTTAAAAAAATCTATAAAATTTAGAAGAAAAAAATAATACTCAATCAATCTAATTTGCTTACAAAAGGAGCGAAAGAAAAAATGGAGGGTATTAAAAATATCAACAGTTTTTCTACTCTAATTCCGAGCATTTGTTTATTAAAGAGCTTAGTTTGGTGGTTTAATAGTAAAAATTATCTCCAAACTATTTGGTTATGACAATTCAAAGTCTATAATGTATATCAATTTTTTTAGACAATTTAGGTTATGACAATTCAAAGTCTATAATATCAAAATTTAATAGTAAAAATTTGAGGTTCAAATAGCCTAAATTGATAGTATAGATCTTATTTTGTAACAACCCTAATAGTTTTGAGGTAAATTTTGCTATTAAACCATATGTAGTTATCAATGTTTTGACCGTTGGAGATAACGGGGAAAGGATATAACATTTATCCACAAAATAATAATTTAGGTTCCAAATCGAGTCTTAAATTATCATAACCTAATAATTTGAGAGTAATTGTTAGTATTAAACCTTAGTTTGGCAAAGCAAAATTACAGATTTAAAAGGTCTTTTTTTTTTTTTTTAATATCTTTTTTATATAAATCTCTTTTTTTTTGTTTTTTTTTTAAATTTTATGAAAACAAACATGGGTCAAAATGGGATTATGACATTATTTTAACCACAAATCAATTAGTTTAAAGAGCTGGTCAGTTATTAGGCTAAATTAATTAGTAGTTTTTTTCAACGGTAAGTATGTGCTTAGATCAACTTTCGCACACCTCAAGATTAATTCCTTCTTAGACATTGCTAAGGGACATTTTCCAACAAACAACATTAGATATTCTTAGAATAAATTATCTAGAGTGCTCGCCATAAGTACGAAATCATATACCTCACATATAAGTTAATGTTTACTTACTAGCTTGACTAACTAGTGGACTAACCATACATGTCAAATCTTCCGAGCATAGGGATACTATTGTATCCACATTCATTAAATGGATGCCGACTGAAAGAGACTTGCTTCTATGAAAACAGAGGTATATTTTGATTTCGATAAATCTCAATATTTGAATTGATATACATTATTACTATTTCAATATAATATTTGTAAAATAATTTATATATTTTTTCCCCTAAGATTACGTGATTAACTTTCTTTCGTAAATGTAAAATATTTTATTTTTAATAGCTTATATACTTTATGGAAATTTAATATTTGAAAAAATCATGTTGATTTTCATTGGAGGTTTGAAAATTGCTTCCGAAAAAGAAAGAAAAGAAACGGACAGGAGTTGTCCATAAAAATATCAGCACGTACCTCACCTCCGTTACTATCCTATCCTACCATAGCATCCTATTGAACATTTACACTGAGCACAAAGCAACTGAAAAGACAAAGAAAACACTTACTAAGCAGTAAATCTATTAGACAATCTAATTATCCGTTCATAGCTAGCTGCTAGTTAACTAATGCTTTTTTTAATTATGGCCAGTTACGGGAATTATTGGATTTAAGATTGGAAACTTGGTGGATGATTATTGCCTTTTTGTCTTTCTATTTCCTCCACGTCTTAGTCATTTCCAGACTTTTCACTTGCAAGTAATGTAACGTTCAAAATTGATTCAACATCGTGCTCTATTCCTATATAAATCACTCAGCAATGCTGTAAAACAATATGACAAATTTTACCACACATTTACCTCATCCAATTAACATCACTCTCTATATATATTACTTTCGAAATGGCTTTTAACCTTAAGCTCTTTATGTTCATTGCTTTCTTGGCATGCAGCAGCTTGGACTGCTACGAGGCCAAGGCACGACCATTGGCCTCAATCTCAACCCTTATGGCTCGCTTAAAATTAGAAGGAGAGTCACCAAATTGCTGGGACTCTTTGGTGCAACTACAAGCATGTTCTGGGGAGATTATTCTTTTCTTCCTTAACGGTGAGACTCAACTTGGTCATAGCTGTTGCCAAGCTTTGTTGAGGATCATTGGTGAACATTGCTGGCCTAACATGATTGATACTTTGGGCTTTACTACTGAGGAGGGCCAAATTCTTGAAGGCTACTGCGAGCAAGCTGCCGATTCCTCTGCTGCATCACCATCAGCACCATCTGTAGTGCCTGTTAAGGTTCCAAACCAGACTTTGGTTCCCTGATTAGAACTTGAGATTGGCTCTTAATTAATGGTAAGAGCAGCTGGAATAAAATAATAGCAACAATATAGAATAATTACACTCTTTCCTAATTGTGTCTTACGATATTATAAACAAGCGATGGCTTTTATTTTATTAATTATAGCTTCCGACAATCTATTCACTGATCTTATAATGCGATTATAAAAATATCGAACTCGCACTTGAGTTTTGAGATTAATTTCCGGATCAAATTCACTAGTTCAATGTCATACATACGTAATGCATCTATGGCTATTAACGAGTCATCTACGTGGTTTAAGCATTCTGTTTTAGTTGTGTTTGTAATGTATCGAGTAGGTGTCATGAATAATTGTAACAAGTATTATATCCAGTACTACTGATTTGATATAAATAGATGAGGATTTCTAAATTATTGATGTTTAATATTTTTATCAAACACACCTTTTTTTTTTTTTTTATGTATCTATTCAAAGTTTATGCATTTTAGTTTGCTCATTTTATTGTTGTATTTTAGTTTTGTTTAAATGTTTTATTGAATTATTGAAAATAGGCTCTTGATAAATTATTGGAGTAAAATATTTATTTATTTACATTTATTTTTTCAGTCTGGCTAACAAACTATTCTAATATATATATAAGAAAAAAATTTACAAGTTTTTTTATGTCTTGGCTTTGCCAGATTATGGTCCTCTTATTATACAAATTCATCATTTTTTTTTTAATTGTATCTCTTTTTGCCTTGATTGTAATTTAACATGGAAATCAAATTGAACCAAATTTTAAATGGATCGGCGAAAAATCGGCGACAATGGTGATCATGCTGGAGAAAAATTATGGATGTCTGCTAAAAAATACGTGACTATGTTGGAACTTTGCTACAGTATTTTCTCTTTAATTTTCTTTCATTATTGACATGTGGATTTGACTATTTCTTTTATCCGAAGGTTTGATTAATGGCTTTGAAAATTTACATATTATTAATTTTTTTTCTTTATTTTTAGTATTTGATAATGGATTTTTCTGATTTTTTATTTATTATTTTCTCTAACTCATGTTTCTTATTTATATGGTTGGACTATTAATAGATGATGGAGAATAACGGGTTTTGTTACGATTTGGTAGATAAGATGAACTATTATCCTTTTTTTTTTTTTCTTTCTTTGGTCCTTCTTTCGTCTTGTTGGGTTCATGGTCATTGTGAATTTATAAATCACTTAAGCATTTTTATTTATTTATTTTTTATCATTGTTGCCCGAGATGATAGAGAGTTGGCTTGATTATTTTTGGAGATTGCTCTACTTTGAAATATGTATTACGCTAGGTAACTGTATTATTTCTTTGGTGATCATACGGAGGTTGATGATGTTATCAATATAGTACGTAAGAAATAATGGAATTTCCTATCTAGATTCTAGAACATTTTACTTAATTAATTAAGTCATTTGCTATTTTTTATTATTATTATTATAATGTGATAGGAATTTTATTTTATTTTATTTTTTTTGCCAATCTTGCGAAAGAAAAAGGGACCTTCAAAAAGATTAATATAGAGTCAACAAGGGACTTGATTATTTTTAGAGATTGGTCTACTTTAGGATATATACGTTATGACAGGTAACTTCCTATTTCTTTGGTGACCATAGAGAGGTTGATAATGTTATCAGCATATATAGTAAAAGACCATGAAATTTTACTGTCTATACACACACACACACTTTTTTATTAATAATGCGATAGGAGTTTCTATGCCAAACTTGGGAAAGGAAAAAGGACCTTCAAGAAGATTAATATAGGCCAGGGGCAAATTTTTTTAATTAATTGTAGAAATTTTTATTTTTATTGGTATGGTATTTTAATTAAATCCAATGTTTCTTTCTTTTATTATAAAGTTGATTGTTTGGTTATTGATTAATTTTCTTACTTAACGTAACCGTTTTGAAGTACAAAACAAGCTTCCTCAAGTCAATCATTCTCTACGTTAGAAATTTTGATCATTAAGATATAAGTTGTAAAAAATTATCACATGCCAGTAGGCACAGTGACCTTTCTTTTACATTTATTTTATTTTTTTAAAGAAACAAATATTGCATTCTAAGAGAAAATAAAACCTAGCACATTTAGGGATGGCAATCACAGATTTTACTATGGGTGTATCTGTTTAGAAGACAAGTAATCTAAAATCCCCAATCTCAAATATAACATATCACTAATCTATTTCTTAATGCTTAAATGAAGAGCATTGTAAATTCACAGCCAGTTTTCATTGTCAATTTACTCCAAAAAATAATTCGAAATGCTAGAGGCAAATTAAGTTAGCTTCACAAATTATCTTGGCCAGTTTTTAGTATTGTTGTCCACGTCTCATACCCTAAAATTTGAAATGACAATAGTTGTCTATTGTAGCAAATTGAGCATGAATTGTGTGTTTTGTATTCATGCTAACTTTCATAATGTTTATGCATATGCAAAAATTCAAGATGTAGGGTTAATGAATGGATATGAATGAATAAGCAATTTAGGCTGCAAGGGACAAATGAATGAATAAATAAGAAGCAAGTGGTGATTAGAAGGTAAAAAGAAGAGCTACTGGTGGTCCAACATCAAGAACAATGCAATATTTTGGTTGAAATTGGGTAAGGTTTGCATTTGAACTTTGTTAAAGAAAGAATTGAAACTTTCTACCTTAATCGTAAAAAAGGAACATAGTTAAGTAATAAAAATTCACTCATTAAATAAATAAATTTATTGTAAATTAAGATAAAGAAAGAATTGAAATCTTTTACCTTAATCATTAGGAAAATTAAGATTAAAATCATGTTATCATGTTTCTTAATATAAAGATGACTCGAACCATCAAAATAGTTTTATAAAAAAAAATTTAGGTGACTCGACTCGAGACACGATCGGTAGCTTTCTTGAGACGATATGTCTCATCCGTAAAATTTATTTAATGCAGTAGATCAAGTGTATGTTGCAAGACGTCTTAAAGAAACAACAATCTTAGCCATCTTGTCGTATCTTAACAAGTTTGTACTACTTTTCTTTACTAAAAAAATGTTGCTATATATATATATAACAAAAAAATGAGTTGTTGAAAAAAAGAATACACTCATTTAAAGAAATAAATGTACTCATTCAAAGCAAGTAATGGCTAATATAATGTACATTAAAATTCAATGAAAGAGCATTAAAAAATTCAATGAAAAATGTTACAAAATTTAATGAAAAAGACCAATGGAAATGTAATTTTTTAATAATAAATATTTTACTAAAAATATTCCAACAATCCCTCACTTATTTTTTAATAAAATATAATAGCTATATTTTTGGTAAGAAATAATACATAATAAGGATGCTAATGGCTTGAACCCTTATTTGGTATTTCAATAATATCGCTCTCAAGCCAATAGTAAATATTGTCTTGAATTAAAGCTATTTTAGCCTTTTAGTAGAAACAAATATTATATCACACATATCATATTTAAATACTCTACGATAAGTTTCAAAGCCAACATATTGCGGCTTTGTGCTTGATCCAAGTTATAATAAGTATTCTAGAGAATTAGTCCTATTTTCATGAGAAGTGACTTCGCTTCTTCACTCATACAAGAGTGTCTATAAATTATGCTCCTATAACTCTAACATCACATTAAAAAAAAAAAACTATAAATCACATTAAAAGTTTCCTCTAAATAAACTTAACCTTCTTTTTTTTTTTTTCGTTATGGAAATCATGCAATACATCATAGGAATGGACATATGAGTATTGTAACTCAAGTAAATTGTGCATGTAATCAAATCACTATGTACTCATTTTTTTTCCTCGAACCTAGTTTTTGGGATCTTCAATCCCTAGATGGAATATTCACATAGGTAATTTTATTCTTTTATAGCCCGAATTTCATCCCCCTCGATTCATCATCTAATCCTTTGACTTTAACTAAAGATTTAATCTCATAATTTTTAATATATATACCCAAAAGATTAGGTAGCTAATTCTCAATCAATTTATTAGTACTAAGACAAGTGATGAGATTATTTTGTATTCTTACTATTTTTGCTTCGGACAAAGCATAACATCCACTTACTTCTTCATTGGCTTGACCTTTTAGCCAATTTAAGTTTCACCATATACACACCAACCAATGGTAATTATAATATTAGTTATTTTTCACATTATCATTATCATTATGTTAAAACTTGATGAAATCATTTTATTCTTTAATACAATAAGAATATTTAATATAATAACATTGAAGTGAATATGAACATTTTCTCGTTTTGTAGTTTTTCATAAAAATTTGACATTATTCTATCTCGTCTATATAATAAGAATGCCAATATTTAGTTAGAGATTTAAATTTCTTAAAATATCACAAATTGTCTTTTCAAACAATATTATTATAATACCATTATATCTTAATTGCACAATAGGAGTATCTCTTATTCCACTTATCAAATAATGTCACCAAAACACCATTGCACCTTAATTGTATTGTAGGAATGTCACCGATTCCATCATTCTCTCAATATTATTTTGCCAAAAATTTCATAAGTATCAATATACTTTTTATATAATAGGAATGTTTTTGGCAAATATTTTATAAGCATCTTTATACCTTTTGTATAATAGGAATGCTTTTATAAATATTTATAAAACATCACATTAAAAAGTGCATGTGCCAAAAAATTAAATAGCATCATGAGAGAATTATGATAGTATATATTGAAATACAAAATATTATTATATCCATCAAATATTTGATGTATTAATATTTTTTTAATGTAATGCCACAAATGTTGACATAATATATATATATATATATATATATATATATATATATATATATGAATGAAATATTATTGTTTTTATATGCCCCCACTATTCATATAATAAATAATTTTCTTGTTACCACTATAGACAAAATGATGACATGAATTATTCTATTATTTCATCATGAACACTTACAATTTATTTCATGTAGCCTATCAATCAATAAGATATATTTCTTTAAAATAAGATAATATATCAAAAATTTATTTTCACATAGAAAATATTATATGAAAAGTCTTTTATTAAACCATGTACCTTGCCAATTTATCTTACTAATAATCAGCTAACAAGATTATATTTTCACAATTAGTTATATTGCCACAATTGGGTAAGGATGTCAAACAATTTTAACATGAGGCACATAAAAATAATTGACATTAAAAATATAATTAATTTTTAAGTATATTAATATGTGACCTTTCAAGTCTTAATAATTCAATCATGTGAATCAACATTTAATAACAATTAATTTAGAAACATTCAATAAAAAGAATAATATATATATTAAACACTTTAGTATGGACCAATAAATATCCTTACAATAATCTAAAATACTTGCAAATATAAGTATCATATACTTTCATCATCAAAAGTTAATCTCAAATACATAAGGTAATAATAATAAAAAAAAAACTTTAATAATTTGACATTTGAAATTTGCAAATATAAAAAAAATTTCAAGTTTCCAACGGTACTTACAATATCATCAGTATAAAAAATAAAGTACGTAAGCTTTCATTGCCTCTAATGCCACATAATTTTGATTTTCGCAATTTTGTATCCAATATGATCAATATATCCAAAGAAAACTATTGGATATATTTTCTTCATTGGCTTCTCATTTATCTCGATAACATAACATCGGAAAATAACAAAAAATTATTATTGGTCAATGTAAATAAATTTATAAATCAATTCTCAAATTATTTATATTTTTATCAACCATAAAATTCACAAAAATAAATCAACCTTATGGTTAATATCACAAATATTAATTTTCAATAATATTACTATTCTTGATTTTGAATAATAATATTTAATAGATAACCATAAGTTAAAAAAAAAAAAATTATGGATCAACACTTAAATTGTCTCATAAATATGCATATGAAATATATTAGCAAAAAAGAATATATATATATTTTTTCATCAAACATGATCTTAGTATTTCATTAGGCATATGGTAGTGATAGTTTTTCAAGAGCAATACAACCAACATGTCAACAATTGTTTTTTTTAATACTTGCTTTATGCTCAATTAAAACAGAATCATCAAACACCAATTAAAAAAAAACCCAATAGGCACGTAATTGCATTGATATTATAAAATACATAATCTTTAATTTTCATTCCAAAACTCTTTACATGATTTTAATCATTAAATCACAACATGAAATCATCTCAAATTGTAGTGTACATTTAAATTCAATGAAAGAATATTAAAAAATTCAATAAAAAAATATTACAAAATTTCATGAAAAAGACAAAAGGAAATGCAAAGTTTTTTTTTTTTTTTTAATAATAAATGTTTTATTAAAAAATATTCCAACATGTGGTGCTGAATTTTAATAATTGGTTTACATGTATTATTTCTTAAATTTGAATGGTTTGCGGCCACAATAACGTATCCATTGAGCTGAAAAAAACTTTGGGTTGATTTTTCCTACACCAAAAGCTTGATCATGATCATTTATAGTAACTATTATACTTGCCAATTTTTTCTCTTTGAAAAGACTGATTCTAGATGGAAATTATAAAGTTAAGAATCATACAATTATTAATTAAAGTTGTAGTAGATGATCTATGCATAGAGAATGATACGATGCATTGAATGCACTGGAAAAGATTATGACTGGCAGTTTTGCTGACTTTGACAATATGCAATGAATATAATTTTTATTTTCATAAATCTTGAACTGCCGGATGAAAGGATGCTTTAAATCATTTGACATGTAAATTTATTTTAATATACATATTTGCGTTCCAATATGCTTTATTAAAAATATTAAGATTTTTAATGGCGTACATGAAAGATAAAAAATTTGGTATCTTCGATATCAGGTTGGTTATCACATATTATTTGATCCAACGAACAATTATGCAAATTTCTTGTTTTGCATATTTATTGTGTTGGAATAAAATGAGCTTGAAGTGTTTCGACAAACCTTGAATGAGACTTTATATAGATTTAAGAGGCTTTGACGATTTTGCAAAAAGATTTATTTATCTTTTGAATCTGATGAAGTTGCTCTTTCTGAAACTATTGATTTTGTGTTACTGGATGTTTTTAAGCTTTCATGATCATGTTACCCTAAACCAATAATAAGTTAAGCTTTCGTCACCACCTCCACTTTCACTTTCTCCGCACCTCCATCGATAGTAATTATATAAAAAAATTATTATTATTTTTATTATATCGTTGGTGTCGTCAATATCACCACTATCATTGAAGGCGATGATTAAAAGAAAAAAAATTTACTATAATTATTTTATAACCACTCTCGTTTATCGTTACTATCGTTACAATTACTTCTATTATTTTTACTATCTTTATAGCTCATAAAATTATTTTTTTAATTATTAATTTTATTCTTTTGAAAAACTAAATATTATAAATTATAAATTTTATTTAGATTCTCTATTACTATTTCAAAAGCAGTATGAAAAATACAAATTTAGTTCCCATTTTTTTTTTTTTAAATTTTCATTACAGAACTTCTATTTTAGGTAACTAAAGAACACTTAGGAGTTTTGAAAAAGGATATATTTGTACATATAGCATAGTATTAACATTATTTAAGAAAGCAAAATGAACGAGGTTTACAAAATGTAAAGCTCCATTAAAACTTCCATTGGTTCCCGCAGCAACGCTGGGGCGATTTCGCCACTCTCTCCTAAAATTCTTTCATCCAAACGAAGCAGAACAGTTTTGTTAAAAGTGAATAATATAGAGTGAAACATAAATTTGATTCTCAATCACATGAAGGTACTGAACTTCATTGTGGAAGGACCAAGAACCCCTTTTGTTTCAGACAATGTCTAACAAAACTCACAGAAAGGAAATCAGGCTCAAGCATCTGCCTGCTAATATTGTAGTAGGAAGATTCCATTAGGAGCCTATGCCAAAAATAGACGGTATCCTTAACTTTGCATGGTTCTTATTCAAGGAATCTTGATTTTCTCAATATGTAATTCGTACCTTTTGATGGGCTAACCAACAGCAAGGGTTAGAACTCATTTTCTTCGATTTGGAAAATGGTGAAGCGTATCCAACATCAAAAATCTCAAATCTCCCTTTAACTTTTGATCCAGTCCCATAAAACAGTAGAAAGAGAGACACAAAAGAGAAAAGGAAAAATGCCACGGCGTCACCATCACATTACCATCCCAAACAAACATCAGATTTAAATTCCCAACAGATTGGTCTTTTGCCTTTTCCCTCCTCATACACTTTTTCCCTCTTTTTGCAGTACCTTCTCTTGCTTGCAAAATTTAACTACCCAATTCCTCCTTTCTCAAGTTTTGTGATATTCTTCCTTCTCTCTACGACCCAAGGAAGCTTTGATTCTTCAACATTTATTTACATAACATATGCCACCATGATATTTAAACTCTTCTTTGCAATAACTCCATTGGTCCTCAGCTCGGCTAGCTTGTATCTCATTGTTCTTAACAAACAAGAAAACTCCAAAACCACATTATAGAAGCACCAGCACCAGCACCAGCACCAGCACCAGCACCAGCACCAGCTTCTTCACAATATGGGCTCTGGAGGTGCTGTTCAATATTTCACAATCCTCCTCTTGTATCTGTTCCTCTATTCAGGTGATTCACATTTCCTCTCTTTCGGTTTCCGCTCCCTCATTTTCTTCATATGAATATTATGTGCTTCTGTTTATATGATCTTTGCATATGTGTACCTTCATGTCTCTGACAAAATAGTGGATCCAAGAACAAAATAGTTTAGGAAAAAAAAAAACAATTCTCCTTCTGTTAAGTGGTAAGGCTTGGGTTAAACAATGATATAAAATAGAAATCGATATGGAACTCCGTTACTTGGGATCATGCTATGCTGTAAACTACATCTTGGTGCAAGAAGAACCTAGATTTAATTCAAATCTTTTTATACACGTAATAAGTAAATGAATTCTTGTGCTTTTCTGATTGCATGAAACCCCTTTCCCAGCAAGAATTCATAGACATTTGAATTTGAAGCTCACTCCTTTTCCATTTTTCTCTGAGGAAGAAATACTGAACTCGTGCTTTTCCGATTGCATGAAACCCATTTTCTCTGGTTTTCTGCTTTTCAGCAAATCAGGGCATGGTTTGCGAAAATTTCTGGGTTTAGTATGCTATCCTGTCACCAATCCACGCTGACAAGATAGAACTTCATTTTCATCCATTAACATGAAACAAACAGAAAATAACTTATTCTGCTCAGCATAAAAGAAAAGAAGGAAATTCTGATCCTGCCTTTCCATTTGTTCAGGTCATCCAAGTGTTGCAGCAGAAATTCCTTCTTCAGAATCAATCCAGAAAAATAAAATAGTAGGCGACCAAGAAAATAGGATACTCATCTCATATTCAGTGTCCACCACCCAACTAGATGCAGCTACAGGAGGGGTTCCCATTATCAATCCAACAACTCCAGGAACTCCTATAGTAAATCCAGTAGACTCTCCTCCGGCACCAATAGGAATCAATCCAATACCTACAACGCCTCCAGCTGGTATGATGCCCCCAGGTGGTATGATGCCACCAGCTGGTATGACGCCCCCAGCAGGTATGATGCCCCCAGCTGGTATGAACCCCCCAGCCGCCACAAATCCAACCTCATCAGGAGGGTCATGGTGTATTGCAAGTCCAGGTGCTTCACAAACTGCCTTACAGGTAGCTCTTGACTACGCTTGTGGCTATGGTGGTGCAGACTGTTCTGCAATTCAACAGGGCGGAAGTTGTTATAATCCAAACACCCTCCATGATCATGCTTCTTATGCTTTCAATAGCTACTACCAGAAGAACCCAGCTCCAACAAGCTGCGCTTTTGGCGGAACAGCACAACTTACCACAACTGATCCAAGTAAGATATGAACTCGAAATAGAATATCTGTGGAGTTTGGTTCATCACCGATATCCAATATCACATTTTCTAATGTGTCATACTGCAGCAGTTTTGAAATCTGATCTGTTTTCAATTATAACATTCCATAACCTAAATTCACAACTTGGCAGGTCTCTTCTCTTGAAAAATGTTTTTTCTTTTCAGCAAACCTTGTTTGCCCTTCCAAAATTATTTTTCATAGCTATGACTAGAGCTGAAAAATCCTCTATTTTTTTTATTTTTATTAATTTCCCTGCTTTTAGTTTATTGGTCACTCAGAATCCTAAATCTATAGCCGTTTCCAAATAATAGAGCTTGAGTCCATAAAATCTGCTTCCTATTAGATTTCTCAACTTATCTGTCTGCACCTATTGCAGGCACTGGAAACTGCCACTATGCATCCTCAACCGCGACAACAACCAGGTAAGCTTTCATATCCATTTTAAAACCATTCCTATCAGCAAAATTGTGCAATGGAAAACTCATTCATATTTTTGGAAATACAGCACAAGTCCACCAGGTAATCCAACACTAACTCCCCCAACCCCCACAATGATGACTCCCACAATAGCCTCACCGGGTGGACCACCAACAGTTTATGGCGTGCCAGAACCAACTGGCCAGCCCAGCTCAGCCACCTCTATTTCATGCAGTTTACTGCTCCTATTTTCCACAACTGGTATTGTGGGATCACTTCTTGCAACAAAACATCTCTAAGCACATGGAAATTCAGTCTATTACTACCCTCAATGAGATGACAACTTCCTTGATTGCCACCAAACTCCCATGAACTTCAACACAAGCAGTAAGAATCAACAAGCATGATATTTTCTGGAGGATTTGTCCTCACCATGAAATGTTAAAATCTATTTGCTCTACTATGCTTTCTAGTTGGTAAGAAGCCCAGGAGAAAATGAAGAAGAAAGTAGAATGTCTTAGGTTCTTGTACTTGTAGACACGTTAATTAGTTACATTCTCTCCAATTTTTAGCATAATAAAGTATTAGACAAGCTTGTATTGCTTTTAGGATTGCTTTTTTTCTTTTTTACAGTTTGTGTACTCATATTCAGGAATTATAGATTTAATTATGAATTATCAGAGCTGATTAGTACTATACAGAATCATCACCTACCGAAGGGTAGATGATATTAAGCAATTGGACTTCGTAAGACTACAACAATAACCTGATGCTTACTAGAAGAATTTATTTCATCCAGTAACAGAGGGGTTTGGGTAATTCTCTCATAGCAAATGCACATGCCTCAACACATATCACTGAGCTGGGCAACGACAGGGAGCCTCATAAAAACATGAGCTCATCACGACATTGTTACACCAGTATAATACTCTTATCCCCATAGAGAAAACAATGTATTTCAGACAACAAAAACAGCGAAGCAATTTTTCACCCAAGATTCAATTCCTTTGCTTCCTAGAACTTCAACCTATCTTCATTTGTCTTAAATCATAAGATAGATCTGTTGATTTTGGAAGTCTGAAATTATTTTGATCAAACATTTAAAGCAGTGTGCCATCTTTTTTTCATGTTCTCCTTACTCATTTGGCCATATGAATTTTATAGCCCTTTAACTAACAGATTAAAAGTGCTTCTTACTTTGCAACAAAAGCAACTTAAGTGCGAATAAAAGGCCTACTTTACGCTGCTTCTAGTCAATCCTTAACAAGTAAAGATGTGTAACAAGTTGCGCCACTTTTGTCGCAATCCCCAAATCCACTGATACCCATAGCAATCTTTTTCACTATCATATTCTCTCAACATTATTGCACTATCTCTCTTTTTTTTGACTTAAATTGCACTCTGGCACAAAACAAAAGGGAAGTCTCAGGTATCACACCAGTACTTCTCCTTACCAGCAACAGCTGTGTTTGGAAGTGCATCATGAGATAAGCAATTAGCTGAGACAAAAAAAAAATAAAAAATAAAAATGCAAATGCATGTAACTTTTAGAGACAGTAATTCAAAGGGCAATATCATTTCTATCCAATAATTAACATTGATTCAAATTCTTACACATTTTATTATCTTTCAAGGAGCCAATACCTATACATAACACAAGAATAGAAGATGAAATGTAGTGATTATTTGTTTACTCTTGTCACCTTTCACTGTTTCACACGGGTTTGGTAATTTACAGAAGATCAGTAATTTACCTAAAACTCATATCAAGAGCAAGCAGGATATGACAGTAATACAAATGGTAGCTAAGGTGGCAACAATTGAACCTTGTTCAAATGCTTTCTGCAAATTCCCCATCCGGGAAAAATGCTGGAAAGCCAAATAGCCTGCTATCACCAAGCCAACAATAGCACCTTCTTTTTTCCCCTGTAAACACAAAACATTGCAAGAAATGTTAAGCTAATAAAAAAGAAATAGAAATGAGAATCTCTTTTCAAATAAAGCATCCACTTACCTTAGGTCCAAAACTTGATAAGGTGCCACAATTACCAAGAGTAAGGCCATAAACGGCAACTCAAGTTCACCTACAAAAAATAGAAGACCCAAGACTGAAACTTCTAAGAATTCCTTACTAATAGTTAATGTGTAACAAGAGAAAACAGAAGCGCAAAAAAATATATTAAAATTAAGATTCTAACTTGTGGGATTTGATTGAAGTTAATTGACTTGGAGAACTCACCAGGAATAAAGAAAAAAGCCGGACAAGAAGGGCAAGAAATGCAGTCCAAATACCATATTCACCCCTGCAAATTGAAACACCAAACTTACAGCATAAATTCACCAACCTCAATACAAATCATTCATTGAAAGTAATCAAAACAGTAGCAATTAAGAATCATTGACACATGGTTCATAATCATATTGATTATAACATAAAGCAACTAATTTACAAGAAAATTAAAAATAAAATTAAGAAAGCTTTACTTAATCCATGAAATGACATTTGCTGGTGCTTGGAGAGCAAATAAAGGAACAAGAAAGGACTTTTGGATAGCAGTTCCCTTTGCCAGCATCAACACCCTGGAAATTATTTAATTTAAACAGCTAATTGGCAACTCAAAAATTAAACTCAAACGCTAAAAGATAGAGATTAATGAGTTTAGAGAGGTACATACGCAGAAGAGATAGCGAAGATCCACTGGAGATTAGGAGTATTTAGGGCTCCAGCGTAACAAACTGCACCAAATCGTCTTCCTGATCCCTTCCTTTTCACCTTCACCATCCTTTCACCCCTCTTTATTGATAACCTACATACATAAACACACAATTTGTTGCTCTATTAGAAAATGAAATAAAAGAATAAGAAATAGTAGCAGTAGTTAGTAGTGACGACCTAAGAGGATTGCAGATGGCGAAAGAGCTCGAGAGCTGAGTGACTGTAGAAAAGGAAAACGCCTTGGGATTCTGTATAGAAAGAAACTGCTTCTTGCTGCTGCTGTTGTGATTGGCGAAAGAGAAAGATTGCGCAGATGTTATAGGGATCAGCAAACTCATTGCTCTGGATTTCTTTGCACTGCCACTCAGTAGAGAAGAGCTAGTTGCCTGCGTTTTCTTTTCTTTTTCTTTGATGTTACAGGTGTCCGGTGATGCATCACATATATATATATAAAGAGCGCAGCTAGTTGCCTGCTTTCTTTTGATGTTACAAGTGTGCGGTGAGAGAGCGAGAGCTGCTACTTTTTCTTTTAATTTTCTTTGATGTTACAAGTGTGCGGTGATGGATCAATACAAATATACATATGTATACATATATGTACTCTTTCACCTGCAAATGCAATATAGGCGTTGGGTTCAGCAATCATGATATCTTCAACGTACCAAAACTAGCTATCACTCCCTCATTCGTAGATGTAAGGATTGATACATAAATTAACTTTTTATTTAATTGATAATCATATAAAGCGGAAGAAATTTTAGCCATTTGTATCAAGCTCAAACTTCAAATTTTTTAGATAATTTCTATAATCTACGAGGGTATTATAGTTTATACTTTTTATTAGTTAACTTATTTATTAGCAAACAAAATATAATTACATTTTAGTGGCCTCTCAAAATCTAAGTCTTAGGCTTGATTAAAATCTTGATAACTTAAATAAATAATCAACTAGGAGTATATGATTGTTTTTTTGTAATACCTAAAAATTTTACATGATAATATATGATGTGTATATATGTGCAAATGTGCTTTATTTGTGTATGTAATATATATATATCCCGAAACTTTATACCTAATCATCACATCATCTAAACAAATAAAAAAAATATTAAATTACATACACAAATAAAACACATTTGCACGCGCGCGCGCACAAATACACACACACACACACACACATATATGGGTATTATAGATAGTATTATTTTTATAGATAGGAATTAATCCTACAATCTTAGCCTAAGCTATTAGGAATTAAAGGAATAAAATAATAATAATAATTAATAAAACAATAATGAAATAATAATAAGTTTTATCAGCTTTTAAAGAGAATGTTAGTGACTATGAAAAAAGATCAAAAGTTTTGAAACATATATTAAAATTAAAGAGGAGACATGAATGACCATGAAAGAAAAGAAAGTGACCATAAAAGAAGAAGGTTAGTGGCCATGAAAAAAGTAGTCATAAAAAAGAAGGTTAATGGTCATAAAAGAAAAGAAAGTGGTCATGAAAGAAAGCCACTTAGTGACCATAAAAGAAGAAAGTTAGTGATTTTTTATTATTTTTAATTAATGCACTTAAAATTCTCAAAAAAGATTCAAGCCTTGCTGATTAATATTTAAGGTAAGAAAAATATTTAATTTAATTATTTGTTTCTCTATGATTTTTTGTAGAATTGAGTTTGAAATTCCATGATTTAGGATTGATTATGTAAAAATTATATTTTGGTATTAAAATCTTAAATTTTTATTAAAATATTTGATGATTAAGTGTATTTAAATAAGAATTAAAAAGGTTAAGTTAAAAATTAATAACATTAGATTATATGAATATAATTAGAAGAGATTTGAATAAAGTAAAATAGAGTTAATGATTTAATTGGGATTTTTAATTTAAAAGAAATTAAAAGAAAAGAATAGGAATTAATAAAAATTAAATGATTAGAGATAAAATAATAATATTTAATTTCTTATGTTATTTGGTGTGTATGTTTAAGGTTTGAATTAAGTCAAGGTATCGATTTTTAGAGGAAGGTTACGATAAATAATGATCTTAAGTGAATCAAGTAAGTGTAACTCACTTACACTACAAACGTAAATACTATGTGTTTTTATATGATTGATGTGATGCGATGGTCTTGAGGTGAATTCATATGCATGCATATGTTTTACATATTGATTGAAAGCAAATGTTTTAAGTAAACGAATGAAATTATTATTTTTTAATGCATATTGAGGTTTAAAGGTTGAGATGCATGCATATGTGTTTACATGTTGATTGAAAGAAAATGTTTTAAGTAAACGAATGAGGTTATTTTTTTTAATGCATATTAAGGCTTAAACGTTGAGGTTGCTTATCAAGGCATAAACATTGAGATTTGACTATTAAATGATGAGACTCATATTTTTATGCATGTTTTTATTAAGACTAGATTGTGCTAACCGAGTGTTAGTATGTTCTAGTGGGCCCAAATGAAGAATTTTTTTTAAAGATATTCATGTACAAAAAATTTTAATGTAAAATCATACATGTTACACTTATTGGGATATTCGTATCTCATGTCCATTCCATGATGCAAATATTAAGGATGTTGATGCTTGCTTACAGTGACTAATGACTCACGTGCCTCGCCTTTTTGTATTCCTAACGATTAGGTTATGCTTTAAATGAATATTTATTTTTAAAATAATAAGTCTATTGATGTCAAACTTATGAATGTTAGAAATTTTTTCTTAGAATTTGAGTATGAATATTGGGACAAGATTATTTAGGAATGATTAATTATGATGAGAGATGTTTTATAAATGATAAAATTTTATAATAATGTTTTCTCTATGTTAATTAGAAAATCTTATGGTTATATATTATTAATGACATATTTTAAATTAACATATTTAAAGATGAATAAGATTAAATTAGGAACTTAATTTTAAAAAAGTAAAAAGGATATAAGTTTTAGTATCGACCCGTTCGATCGTGACCCTTCGAGTGAGGTGTCTCAATTGACGGACGTTATAGTATAGTATCAAAGCAAAATAGATTCCGTGGGCTTAATTAGGAAATAAAGTCATTGATTGTTTTGAAATGAATAAATAAGTACTGAATGTTTGTTGTATAATGGCATACATGAGTTCGAGGCTCGACAATGAACATCAAAAAGTAAGTGATTTCTTTTTCACACACACACACACACACGCACACACACACACACACACACACACACACACACACACACACACATATGTATGTATGTATGTATGTATGTATGTATGTATGTATGTATGTATGTATGTATGTATGTATATTTATTGTATAAAACTAAGTTAAAATGTGTATACGATGTGTTTAAATGATATTTAAGTATTCTTTTAATTTAAATCCTATGATGAGGATTATGTGAAAGGTTTTTAGGAATTTAAACCAATAATGAATGATATTAGGATAAAATCCTTCTAAGCAAAATGGGAGACACCGAGGTTAGAAAGGTAGTGGTACTCGGGCAGAGAGTGAAAATGAGGCCTTGATACGACTTATGCTCGGGTATGATGCAATAACGAGCAAGAACGACATGAGGAGCATATAAGACAGGTTGTTGGCTCTGTAACAACGAGAGGGATCAAAGGCCTTAAAATTAAAGAGGTGAAGTGATGGAGAAATTTCAAAAGTTAAATCCAAAGGATTTTATGAGAAACCCCGATCCTTTGGTAGTTGAAGATTGGATTAAGTCCTCAGAGGTTATTTTTGAACATCTTAGGATGAGAGACTTTGGTCGAGTGAAGGGAGTCTGTTTTTATGCCGGCTCGAGATGTAAGAGCTCAGTGGGATGTGGTTAAGGTTCCTTTGGATATAACTAACCTAACTCGGGTAAGTTTCAAAGAGATCTTCTTTACTAAGTATTTCACTCGCGGATGTAAGATCTAAGAAGATACGGGAGTTTCTTGATTTAAGGTGAGGAAATATGATTGTGACGAGTATGTCAATTGGTTTGAGCATGGGAGTGGATTTTTCCTATTCATTACTAAGGACCCCGAGCTGAAGAATGACCGGTTCCTACGAGGACTCACTCCCCAAATCAAGAGCATGGTGTGGATGCCTTATGCTATCACTTATAATGGCATGGTTAGTCGAGCATTGATAATCGAAGAGGATCAAAAGAGATTGTACAAGAACTTCATGTAAAGAGGTTGGGCCTAACTTTTTGATGAAGGTTAGGAGTTCATCGAGATTAAAAAAGTTAAGAGGGATGTCGTTACATCGAAAAAGAATAAAGCTAACGAGTTGTATGTGTCAAGTGTGGAAGGATGCACCTCGAAAACTATTTGGTGGGTACTAACACCTATTACCGATGTAAGGAGTTAGGATATATGGCCGATCAATGTCCTAAGAGAAGCTGGAGGCGATTAGATGGTAGCAGCTCGAGTGTATACTTTAACTCAAGAATAGACCAAATAGAATGATGCGAGTAGTAATTTATGATAACTTCTTAATCTCCGGAGTCGTTGCATATTCTTTGTTAGATTCATGAGCAACACACTCATTTATATCAAGATCTTTAGTAAGAAGATTAGATGTTAAGTCTGAAATATTAAAATCTATTTATAAAATAATGTTACCATCAAGAGGTATAAAGGAGTTTAGGGATATGGTGAGGCGATGCGAGCATGTGATGGGGATAAGTCAATAAAAATGAACTTAATAGTGCTTAGTATTAAGGATTTTGATATAATACTAGGCATGAATTGTTTATCAAAGTATGGAGTTAGAATTGACTATTGAGCGAAGATGGTAACATCCTAACTACCTAGCGAAGAACCCTTATAGTTCAAGGAAAGTGAGAAGGTGAGGTTAGTATCAATGGTATCGACTATAAAAGCATGACGAGAGGGTAAAGAATGGAAGTATAGAATATCTAGCTAACAACTACTTTTTCTTTTCTTTTTCTTTGATGTTACAAGTGTGCGGTGATGGATCAATATATGCATATATACATATATACATATATAGACTCTTTTACGAGTAAATGCAATATAGGCGTTGGGTTCAACAATAATGATATCCCTAACATAACAAAACTAGCTCGTCACCCCTACTCGTAAGAGACGTAAGGATTGATACATAAACTAACTTTTTTATTTGATTGATAATCATATAAAGTGAAAGAAATTTTAGCCATTTTTGTCAAGCTCAAACTTTAATTTTTTTAGATAATTTCTATAATCTATGAGGGTGTTATAGTTTATCCTTTTATTAGTTAACTTATTTATTAGTAAACAAAATATAATTACATTTTAGTGGCCTCTCAAAATCTAAGAAATCTTAGGCTTGATTAAAATCTTGA